CTCAGTTCTTGCCGTAGCTGAATATCAGCAACGGTTTCCGAATCGTAGAATACCGAACCGGCGAGTGTTTACTGGAGTTTACCGGGCATTGCGAGATACCGGTAGACTTCACGGCGTTCGTATTGCAGCCGAGCGTGGTGTTAATGAAGGCGTCAGTGAAGAAGGCATTGTTCGTATGGTACACCGCAGTCACATACGAGTACGCGAAGAATTGCCAGCCAAGTCTCCGAGACTTAAGCCCACTGAATTATTGCGTGTGGGGATGGGAGAAAGAACCGATTTACAGTGTGAAGGTGGCAACGCGAGATGCTTTGCTCGGTCGCATTCTGGACGCCGCTGGCCACATAAGAAAGAGCCAGCTGAAGCTGCTGCGTGCTACCCGCGCGGTTCACAACCGAGCGGCAACCTGTGTTCCGGCCGGCGGTGGCATTTTCGAAAATCAGCTTTAAGCACCAATCAATTCAAATTAAAGGTAATTTAACGAAGTTAACTTTACATTCATACTTTAAATGTATCGTGTATTTTTTTCCTTGGCACTACAGCCCCAGTGGGCGTAGGCCAACCTCCATGAACTTCTCCGTTCACTTCGGCTTTTCTAGATGTTACACATTCGGTAGGACTCCTTGGGTGGATGATCAGCACGTCGCAAGGCCTCTACCTGTACACAAAGACAGAAAAATGCGCACACACAAACTAAACATCCATGCCCTGAGTGGGATTCGAACCCACGATCCCGGTTTCCAAGCGAGCGAAGACAGTACATGCCTTAGACCGCTCGGCTGCCGTGACCGGCGTATCATGTATTATGCTGGTTTATTATTTTGTTCCGCTTTTGTCAGTAATCGTTACCTTCTATTCTGAGTTTAAAACGGTCGTAACTCCGTAACCGTCCAAAATCGGACACATGTTTATATGAATGTTTTCGGTCACAAAGACCTAGGAAATCACCTCCTGCAATTATGCCCTAAAGTCGTGAAACACCCTGTATATCTTTAAGTTTGTATGACTAAGTTACAAATGTTCTGTGTGTGAGACTTTTGTCACAGGACAGATATCAATACGATAAGCCAATTCGTTCTGAACACCATTCAACAGACCAGAGCATGGCACTGACAAGTTGACCACCAAAAATTCCGATCTATTTATTTTTGCTAGTGGGGTGGGACTATGTCCCTTGTACTGCGGCCACTTCTGGCCTATTGAACCAGCCTCAGACGACAGGTGAGGGTGATTGTAGAGAAATTTGTGGAATGAAGATTGGCAGGGGAAACCGAAGTACTCGGAGAAAACCTGCCCCAGCGCCACTTTGTCCACCACAAATCCCACTTGACCAGACCCGAGATCGAACCCGGGCTACCGCAGTGGGAAGCCAGCGAATAACCACTTGAGCTATGGCGCGGCCAATTTCGATCTAATTCCTACTCATTCCTTCTTGTGGGGATATATCAAAGACAGAGTTTTGTTCCTCCACTGCCTGTAAGTGTAAACGATCTAAAACAACTCATCACTACTGTTGCGTGTGTTGACGAGGACATGCTCCGGTGTGTTTGGAACGAATTGGCTTATCGTATTGATATCTGTCGTGTGACAAAAGGCTCATACATAGAACATTTGCAACTTAGTCATACAAACTTAAAGACATATACTGAAAAACCATGCAAGTATTTTGGTTATATCGATAGTATTTCCGTTTCTATAAATCGTTGAAAGTGTCTATTTATTTTATACTAACCCTGTATAGTAGAAGCTTGCAGGAATTAGCCACTTTCTCTTTAAGATAAAAAATATCGTACACATAAGTTAGTGTATTACGAATACCAATTATCCGAGCCGAATTCAGTTCTAAAAGTTGTTCATGAGATGTTCAACAAAAATCAGTTTTCTCAGAATATGCAATTGTGAATGGAGTGTACCTTTATTTTGGAAATTTGGAACCAATCGTGAAGATAAGAAATTGTAGTGTTTCCTAGGCCATGAATTTTTTCTACCCTCTTACATCTGTGAAGAAAAGTACATTTTAAAAGAAGAAACCCTGTGTATAGCTTGCTCTTGTTATGAAAGGACACTGAAATGAAATCGCCCTGTACTGAAATATGAGATAGTAAACACGTATATTTTTAAACATTTTTAAAGTAAATGACGATTATCTTTTTTAAAATATTTAAAGACAAATATTGTCTTCGGGTAAAAGGAAAGAACAAGATAATGTGGAGTTTGTGTTAAAACGATGGAAGATAGTTAAGCCACGTAAGGATAAAGCGAAACAACAAAGAAAATATTTGATCGATACTTGCCCCAACCTTGACACCAAAGACACAGCGATTCTCTAACATAAAGAGAGGTATTTTCTCTTGTTTCCATCTTTATTTCCTTTTGTATCTGCTCCGTACGCTAGGGAGAACTGAGAACTGTCCTTTGGGACCTATTTGCTGAAAGAAGAGGGCTGATACTTCTTAGCATAATTCCCCAGAGACTAGAAGCGAGCGAAAAATAAACAGAACACAATCAATGTGACAAATGGTGTTTCTTCCATCTTTATCTTTCTTCGTTTTCTACTATTTTCCTTCCGTTTCTTCCTCTAACAACAGAAGGCTACTGGTTACTGGATAAACTTTAGAAATATAATATTGGGTCCGGTGTTGATACTGTTTTATTGGTTAACTCCTTGTCAGAAGGGTACATCACATGACATTGTCCAGAGAACCACCAATTTGGCCAAATACTATGGAACTGCCAGTACCATGCGCACGGAGAACTGTCTCTCTCTTCCTCTCTCAATTCGTCGTGCTCTTCCAATACATTCACAGACTGTAGCTGCGTCACATATGTATATTTAGATACATTGTTATGAGCGACTTCGCTGAATACAATGTAATGAGATATACAATAGCTACAGAAGTATATATATATATATATATGGGAACAGAAGTGGGTTCTAACTGCTACTACACAGTATTGGAAATCTTTAATATTACAGCTGTATGTCACTTCTCCATTTTTGTTTCCGCAGTTTGAGGAGTCAAGTAACGAAACCGTGGTAATGAGCACCTTAACCTTCATCCCGGAACCAGACGACGATGCGCATGTGCTCAAGTGTAGAGCGGAAAACCCCATGATTTCCGGTTCCGGCCTGGAAGATTCTCTGAACCTCAATGTGGTCTGTAAGTAAACATGATTATTTAGTTTAGCAGGTTAACATGTTTGCTTCTAAGCTGTTCTCTCTGTAGTTACAACCGAGGAACAATAAGTTATGCAGATCACAGCAAATTGGATCTCTTTGCAGCGAAGAAATCAACGTCTACTGAATAAAAAACGGAATTGGAATTTGTATACGAAACAGTGTGGAGGCGGGGTCGAATATCTCCACCGTGACCCTGCGAGTCGTAGGAGGCGACGAAAGGGGAAGTCTCAAATGTGAGACGGTAAAATATGGTCGCAAGTCACAAGGGACTAGGACCCGAGAAACGTTGCGCTGGCAAGGGCCAGCAGCATATACAGAAAACAGACCCTCTCGTCAGAGAGGACAGAAAAAAGACCGTCACAGTCGAGGAGTAATAACTATCTGGTCATGAGCCCCAGGAGGGTGCTCGACACCAAGACTTACTGACTGACTGATCTTCAGTCGCAGTATGACTTTGACTCTGACTTTGTATACGAAATTTTGTTTTGTTATGCAGAATTGCAAAATAGGTTTTGCGTTTTTAGTAAAAATGATTTTGAGTCCTTACATATAGGTTTGTGGGTGTTGCTGAACAGAATTGTATTTCGTATTTTCAGTTGAAAATTTGCATCCCTTACTGATGTCACATTCAACCCGAATGCTGTCTCTGAGAGTCAGAAGAATTTAGTGTTTTCTAATGTTTCTAAACTTCATCCGCTTACTTTTATGAATACTTAAGGTATATACAAAAATGTAAAAAAAAAAAAATAAAAGGAAAGCTATCCCTGTAACAGGCCGTGAAGGCCCATAGGGTTGTGAGACGTTGTGGGTCCCACATTATCTAGACAATCGGCTCAAAGATGGCGGTAAGGTTGTCAGCCTTACGCGCCGGCCGCGCTTTACGCCCCAGGAAAATTATTTAATTAAAATTATACATTTCTTTAATATTATTGTTACATCTAAGTAAGGAAAATAAGTCTCATAATGGTGTAATAATTTCGTGATAATAAACTAATTTTATGGCTTCAATGAGTGAAGTGACATTTCTGTTTTCTATACTGTAACACATAATTTCAAACTTATAATCAACAATCTCCGAGAGCCAGTCAAGTAAAAAAATATGTATCCACATTACATACTTCAAGAATTTTGTCGCTTCTGTGTGGGAACTTCTCTGATTATGATTTTTAAATAGTTGAAATATTTAGGTGTTTTGTGTCGGAGGGTAATGTCTGATATAATGGGTTCATACCCATATGAATTTCATATTCAAGAATCTCATTATAGAAACACTTGATTGTTGCGAAAATATTATGCTTGTATAGCATTGCATAAACTACTGATGTAAACTATGAAAATTTTCACTGCGTAATTTTGTAAGTATATCCAGTTAATAGTTCGACAAGGATGCTGTTTATCACCAATTCTGTTCAACTTGTACAGCGAATGCCTTACCAAGGAAGCTCTGGATGGGCTCGGTGACTTCAAAGTAGGAGGGCAAATTATTCAAACTGTGAAATATGCAGATGACCTTGTGTTAATGGCTAAGGAAGAAACTGTGCTACAGGGCATGATTGATAGACTAATTGAAATTGGAAGGTGCTATGGCATGGAAATGAATGTGGAGAAAACAAAAGTAATGAAAATTTCGAGACAACCAACCCCAGTCACAATAAAGATAGACCAAAAACAAGTGGAGAATGTGAAATGTTTTAAATATTTGGGTAGCTTGTTAACAGATGATGGAAGGTGTACTTGTGAAATTAAATCCAGGATTGCCATGGCAAAAGCTGCATTTAGCAAGAAGAAGAATCTTTTTACCAGCAAATTGGACTTAAATTTGAGGAAGAAACTAGTGAAATGCTACATTTGGAGCATAGCTCTGTATGGGGCTGAAACATGGACACTTAGGGCAGTAGATCAGAAACATCTGGAAAGTTTCGAAATGTGGTGTTGGAGAAGAATGGAGAAGATCAGTTGGACCGATTATGTGAGAAATGAAGAAGTGCTAATTAGAGTCAGTGAGCAGAGGAATATCCTACATGAAATAAGAAAACGGAAGGCTAATTGGATTGGTCATGTTTTACGCAGAAACTGCCTTCTAAAAGAAGCTATCGAAGGAAAGATAGATGGGCGGATAGAAGTGACAAGAAGACGAGGAAGAAGACGTAAGAAGATGCTGGATGACCTTGGGGACAGAAGAGGATACTGTCATTTGAAGGAGAAAGCTCTAGATCGCATTAAGTGGAGGAATTGTTTTGAAAGAGACTGTGGACCTGTCGTCTTGACAGATTACTGATGATGATGATGATGATGATCCAGTTAATACATAATTAATACGTAGGTGGAGTCAGCAACAGTAAGGCAGCTGTAGACAGATGAAATGATATCCTGTGATGATATTTACACCTACTTATAACGAGTATATTAACGTACCAGATCAACATAGTAGAATGTGTAAAAGGTAAAAAGGTAAAGCTATCCTCGTAGCAGGCCGTGAAGGCCCATGGAGTTGTAAGACGTCGAGGATCCCACTTTTTCTAGACAATCGGCTCACAGGTGGTGATGAGGTTATTAGCCTTACGCGCCGACCACTCTTTACCCCCCCCCCCACAGGGAGATTCCTGGTACTCATTTCTGTTAGAAGCTGTGGCCATAGTGTGGCTGTAAAGTTTAGGCAAATTGAAAAAATCCAATGACCTCATCGGGAATCGAACCCCTCGACCTTCCTGCTTGTAGCATAGTTCCTCAACCAACTACGTTACCGCGTGCCTCATGGCAGTAGAACGTGTACCTGATGTAAAATGTGTATAATATTAACATATGCAGGTAATTCTGACTCTTTGTGCTATTGGAATTGTAATAAAGTGATTTAATTTTTTATTTGAAGTAGAAGTTTTAAATGATAAACATGGACGGAAGTAGAATTTTAACGACTTTAAGTGTACACTTTCGATATAAAATTTCATTAAAATCTGCCACCTGGTTTAACTGATCGAACGAGCTGAAGGACGGGTGAATAGACGAGATATTAGTATAAAAATTTATCCCAGTGAATGTATACAAGCTTCCTAACAAGTCACTAACTTCTGTTGTAATTTACGACATTCTGGATGGAGAACTACAGCCGTGTGTTTAGCGTCAGTACTTTTCTGTCCCTCTTCAAGACTGTAAATTCTATATCTTTGAAATAAGTGCCCAGACTGATGTCAGAATTGCTTTACTCGCAACCACAGTTTTGTTAATTTCAAAGGAATTCAATTAAGTAACGCACCGCATTGTGGGACAGGAAGTGACATGCATCTTGTAACACGAATCCAAGCTTTTGTTAGGTCCGTAGTAATTTTCAGATGTTTTATTGTGTGCGATATAGGACCCTTCCAGATTGATTGACCTAAAAAACTTGAATAAAATTAACACACAAACCTATTATGGATGGCATTAATTTATTTAATATAAACTACCTGCCTTTGGCTCATCTCAGGGGGTGTGTTACGGACCCAAGCATGTTATGAATACCGTGCTGTGAATTCCTTTAATATTATTTCAAAGGTTTATTTTAAATTTCTAAAGTAACACATTTCAGTCGGGCATTTGTAAACGAAATTCTTTTAAATATTGACTACGTTTGTTTCATGTTTATTTCATGCTTGGCTTACCGTTCGAACTTGAAGATGTGTCTGCATGTTTCTCCGAAACATTTGTTAAGTTTCACCGGACTACACGTCTTTATATCTATATCTTTTGATTTCCAGCTATATTCCGTGTGCACGCGCATGTTTTGTATAAATTACAATAGACTGCATTCTCTATGGTCAGTAAAGTTTTAAAGAGCTTTCCGCTGAAATTCGGAGAAAGAGAATGCCAGGAACTTTACATGTGCCTTCTCTTTGGTTTCAGAGTTTCCATTTTCTCTCAGTAGAATGCGCATATGTTGTAATTCTGAGTATTTTGATTTTATTTTCACGTTTCCTTTTATAAACTGGCGTCTCTAATATTTTTTCCCCTCCATAGTAGAAAGAGCAGTGCAACCGACAGTTAAATGTATTTGCTGGGGCATGGCAGACTGCTTCAAAATAAGGCTTTAGCAGAGAACAAAAGTAGAGGCTGCTGATTAGTTACAAAAAAAAATAAAAATGTATTTGAGCTCACTGCTTCATAAAACCATAGACCATACTAAGTATAGCTTCGGTTGCATTTATTTATAGAATCACATACTGTGTATGTAGCCCTGACTGTGTCATTTATGTAGCTCCGTGTCTGTACGGGGATGCCCTTTCCAGTAGAAGGGCCTTTGCATGACTTTCAGAGAATACTGCATTACATGGCCTGTCCTATTATGTTCCCAACCAAACTACTGGCAGACGTCTGCCTATGCTTCCTGCTACAGCTTAACATTCGTGAGTAAATGTGACTGAAATTACATTAAGATTCAAGGATCTAATTTACCTCGTAAGCAAATATCGTTATATATACACACAGAGGCAAGGATGAGTTGTAGTAGAAAATATCTTCTAGTTAAAGTTGCTAATATTTTGGTACATATTTTTAAGAAGTTACTGCTCTCAGGCGTTTGAGATGTAAGATAAATAAATATGTTACAAGTCATTTGCTTAAGGTAAGCATTAACTCGCTTCACTGAACACTTGTAATAGGTATCATGACATTTACGTCACTTGTGAATAACCAAACTTTGTATCGGAGAGAATTGTAACAGCATTAAAATTCTGTTACCGTCCTTTTTGTATGGAATATACCGTATTTACGCATGTATAGGCCGCACATTTTTTGCCAAAAAATCAAGAGGAAAACTGGGGTGCGGCTTATATTCGAAATATTCGAAATCACACTTCATTTAAAAAAATTATATTCATAATTAGTAATACAGAGTGTTCTACTCCTGAAATAATATTCCAAGAAAATTATTTTTTCTATAATTTTTGTCTGAAAATTATGCTGCGGCCTATACACGCACGCGGCCTATACATGCGTAAATACGGT